TACGGAGCAACTCCTTGGTTATACTGGCTGTGTGCTTCGGGTCGTTGCCATGTTGGAAGACCCAGCCACGACCCATCTTCAATGCTCTGACTGAGGGAAGGAGGTTGTTGCTCAAAATCTCACAATAAATGGCCCCATTCATCCTCTCCTTAATACAATGCAGTCGTCCTGTCCCCTTCGCAGAAAAGCACACCCAAAGCATGATGATACCACCGCCATGCTCCACAGTAGGGATGGTGTTCTTGGGATGCAACTCATCCTTTTTCCTCCAAACACAACGAGTGAAGTTTAGACCAAAAAGTTCTACTTTGGTCTCATCTGACCACATGACTTTCTCCCATGCCTCCTCTGGATCATCCAGATGGTCATTGGCAAACTTCAGACGGGCCTGGACATGTGAGGACTTGAGCAGAGGAACCTTCCGTGCAATGCATGATTTGAAACCATGACGGCATAGTGTTCTACCAACAGTGACCTTTGAAACTGTGGTCCCAGCTCTCTTTATGTCATTGACCAGCTCCTTCCTTGTAGTTCTGGGCTGATTCCTCACTTTTCTTATCATCAGTGATACCCCACAAAGTGAGATCTTGCATGGAGCCCCAGTCCGAGGGAGACTGACAGTCGTCTTTAGCCTCTTCCATTTTCTGACAATTGCTCCAACAGTTGATCTATTTTCACCAAGCTGCTTGGCACTGGCCCGTAGCCCTTTCCAGCTTTGTGGAGGTCCACAATTTTGTCTCTGGTATCTTTTGACAGCTCTTTGTTCTTGCCCATGGTAGTAGTTGGCGTCTGACTGACTGTGGGGTGGACATATGTCTTTAAAGAGCTCAGACAGGTGCTACTAAGTAAGATTAATGAGTGGAGTAGAGGTGGACTTTTTAAAGGCACAGTAACAGGTCTTTGAGAGCCAGAATTCTTGGTGTTTCTTAGGTGTTCAAATACTTATGTTCAGCAGTGCAAGACAAATAAAATTCTTTAAAAATCATACAATGTGATTTCCTGAATTTTTTTTTTAATTCTGTCTCTCAGAGTGGGAATGCACCTACAATGTGAATTTCAGACCCCTCCATGATTTCTAAGTGGGGAACTTGAAAAATTGCAGGGTGTTCAAATACTTTTGTTCCTCACTGTATAATAAAAAGTAGGAACACTCACGTGGTAGTAGAGTAATAAAAGCATGTAGGGTATTGTGGTGTAGCAACACCATGTGAAATGGCTGTCACTGGTGCCTGTATCGTCTGCGTCTCAGTGGTAGGGAGCGTGGTTCAGGAGGGAGACAGATGTAGAGCCGGCCGGCATGCTCGTACTCCTAAAGATGGCGGCTGGAATGCACGCTGAACCGCAATGTCGGCATAGGCGTGATGTCGTGATAATGGCTAATGTGCCTTAATTGGCAATCAACAATTCGGGAATAACAATTAGCATATTTGGAAACGTGGGTTAGTGATGAGGAACATGTGGGTCTTACAATTGAAAGCATAAGTGGGGGAAGAAAACACAGTAGCAGGGGAAAATTATGATAATAGGGGAAAAAAAAGGAAAACCAACAACAAACATTACCATTATACATGGAATGGGGGAAGAATTTAAATTATATAAAAAAAGAGGGGGGGATAAGAATAAGAATAAAATAATGAATAAAAAGATGAAAAGAAATTAGATGAAAAGCAATAAAAAAAATCCATAAAAAAAAAAAAAAAAGTTATAAATCTAAGCATAATCCTCCCTGGGGTGCCATAATGAATATGAATGAGTTTATAAATGAGTATAATAGAAAATGGAAAAAATTTAAATTACATTTAGTAAATAAACGCATGATGTATGAAAATAAACGCATGAATATGGACAAAAACATAATATGGGGAAAAGAGGATGGGAAAAAATTTTAAATTTGAAGATTAAAAAATAATGGAATGAATGAATAAATAAAAAAATAGAATATGTTGCAAATACTTGTCAGAAAAAATTGAGAAAAATCATAAAAACTAAAAATAAATTTTAAACAATTAAAATGAGTAAACATTAAAATTAAGATGTTAGATAAGGTGAAGTAAAATGTGTTAGAGAATAGTGTTAACATCTAAATTCCTCATTTAGACCACCTGGGGACAAAGTGTCCAATATTAAAATCCAGTATGTTTCTTGCGAGCAAAGTTTAATGAAACGTTCAGACTCTGAGAGGTTTTTGGTTATGGATTCTAAAACCCAAAGCTTTAGACCTTCAGTGGATTTATTGTGGAATTCTAGAAAATGCCGGGGGACACTAGGTTTGTCTTAGCCGTCTTCAATGAGGCGGCGATGTTCGCCAAATCTGGCGCAAAGGGGCCTGATGGTACGTCCCACATAAAGAAGGCCATGGGGACAGGTTAAACAGTATAAAACATAATCAGTTGAACAATTATAGAATTCTTTAAATGTGTACATTTTGCCTTTGGCAGTAAAGGTTCTTTGCCCATGATTGACAAACTGGCATGTTTTGCATAAGGTTTTTTTGCATTGGTACATGCCTACCATGTGAAATAAGCTGAGTGTGTTGGATGTCCTCACAGGAGGGTTATACTTGCTGGGAGCAAGCTTATTTTTGAGGTTTGTGGCTCTGCGATATGTGAATTTTGGTTTACCCTCTACAGTGCCAATAAGTGGGGATCCTGTAGTAAAATTGGCCAATGTCTGTTAATAATGCTCTCCATTTTACGCAAGTGTTTGTGAAATTTGGTGACAAATCTGATTGGATTGTGTAGCTCCTTCTCGTTAAACGTGGAGGATTTGCCATTTTGATAGATGGAACAGGCTTCATCTACCAATGTGTGCAGATAACCTTTGTCTTTAAATTTAACTTAAAAGATTTCACTTTGGGAACGATATTCTAAAATCTGATGTGCAGTTCTGCCTAAGGCGGCAGAACTGTCCTTTGGGGATATTCTGGATCCACTTTGGATGGTGACAACTATTGAAATGCAGGTATGAGTTACCTGAGACAGGTTTGAAATGGTTCTTAGTATTTATTGCGTTGTTGTCATGGTATATAGTTCTAAATCAAGGAATATTAATGTGTCTTTGAGGCGTACAGAGGTGAAAAAGTCTGAAGGGGCTAGAGCTGCAGTGAGCAACAAATTTATCAATGTCGGTTATAGGGCCATCCCAAATGACGATTATGTCGTCTATGTAGCAACCATAGAATACCATGTGTGAGGCAAAGGGATTATCGCGCCATATGAATAATAACTCATAGTTAAATTAGAGTATGAGGGGGCAAAATTGGCTCCCATAGCCGTGCCTTGTATTTGTAGATAGAAATCGTTATTAAACGTGAAGTAGTTGTGTTTCAAGCAGATGGCGTCTATAATAAAGGAGGTGGCGTCTATAATAAAGGATGACTGTTTGGAGTTGAAAGATGGGTCCATGGATAGGTAATGGTGGATGGCTGTTATCCCTACTTCATGTGGTATTGAGGTGTATAAAGAGTTAACATCTAAGGAGACCCAACAGTAATTGGGCTCCCAGGTGTAGGATTTTAACAATTCTAAAAGATGCCCACTGTCTCTAATGTAGGAATTTTGTGCCTGTGCTAGAGGTTGCAGAAAGTGATAGATGTATTGTGAGAAACCACTACTGATGCTACCTGTGGCTGCTATGATGGGTCTACCTGGTGGAAGATTTTTGTGCACTTTGGGTAATAAATAAAAATATGGGGTGTTATAAAAAATCTTTAGGTAAAAAGGGAAGCTTCCGACTTGATGATGACACCATTTTGTAGAACTGTATTTGTTAACTGCGGGGCCTCAAGTTTAAAGTCAGATAGCGGATCTTTAGTCAAATTTTTATAAGCGGATGTATTAGAAAGTAATCTATGGGCTTTGGCTATATAGTCTATGGTATTTAAGAGAACAATGCCTCTGCCTTTGTCAGCAGGTTTAATTATGATTTCAATATTGTCGGATAGGGTTGTTATAGATTTCTTTTCAGTAGAATCCAAATTTGAAGAGGGGTGCTCATGACCAGGATTGCATAATTTAACGAATTCTGAGTAAACAACTCTATAAAAGCTTTCTAGATAGGTGCATTTTGAATATGTAGGGTTGAAAACCGATTTCGGTCTGAAGGTAGTGAATGATGGGTGGAGGATTGGTAAACTGAAGATGGTTCTGTGGTGGCTAATTCAGAAGATGGAACATTATCGGGATGGGATTCAGTAAAAAGTTGTTCTAATATGTGTAAACAATCGATATCAGCTGTGGACGAGAGGGCAGAATCGTAAATATCAGCCGGGTCATCAGTGTTCTGGTTTTGAGTGATTGTGAAAAAATCTCGAGGGTTAGATTACGAATAAATTTGTTGAGGTCTTTAAAAATAGTGAGAAAAGGTTTGGGAAAGAAGTGGGAGCAAAAGTAAGACCTCGATTGAGGTTTCAAAGTCTGATAATTGATAGCTGGATAAATTGAATATTTCACAGTTTCCGTTGTTTTTGTCGTGTGTGTGTGTGTAGAGTGATATTTGTTTCGTCGTCCCCCCCTTCAGCCTCTGTTTTCTTTTTCTGTGGGGGGGGGGATTTAGGCCTAAAAAAGTACTAACATACAATTTTGAGGACAAGCTTTCGGGGAATGTCCCCTTCTTCAGGTCCAAGCACTACTGATCACAATGTTTTAACAGAATGTTGGAAGAGATGTAGGGGATGGGAGAAAAAAAAAAGAGAACAGAGATAAGACACAGCAAAAGCAAAGTCTGGGGGGGGGAGACAACACTCACAGAGGCAGTAATGCTTGAGGTTGAGGTGATAGTCATAAAACTGTTGGATAATGAGTGAGGAATCCCATGTCCAAATTCAGGCCGTTATCTCTTGTGTCAAATAGAATTATCATTCTTAGTTCAAAACTTTTTCTTTCCTGAATGGATTTGAAATTTCCTTTAAGAACTAAAATAATGAGGTGTCCCAAAGTGTGGTCTGGTTGTGCGAAATTTTGTCCCACAGGTGTGCAAAGGTCATCTTCATTATGTTCCTTGATGGTATGTCTGTGCAAATTCATCCTTGTTTGCAACGTCTGTCCTGTTTCGCCAACATAAAATCCTTTGCTACATTTTCTGCACTGGCTAAGGTACACATTACTAGAGGTGCAGCTGTATGATCCGGAGATATTGAAGATCCCTTTTGAGTGTCTGACACTTTTTGATGGATTGATTTGTTTGCACAGTTTGCAGCGTTTTTTTTTTGCAGGGTTTGCTTCCATTCTTTGTGACATCATAATAAGAAGGACGTTTCCTACTGATTAGTTTATTTCTGAGGTTGGGGGGGTTGTCTGAAAGAAATATTCCAGCAACCAATACTGGCCTTCAGACAACCCCCCAACCTCAGAAATAAACTAATCAGTAGGAAACTTCCTTCTTATTATGATGTCACAAAGAATGGAAGCAAACCCTGCAATAAAAAAAATGCTGCAAACTGTGCAACCAAATCAATCCATCAAAAAGTGTCAGACACTCAAAAGGGATCTTCAATATCTCCAGATCATACAGCTGCACCTCTAGTAATGTTGTATACCTTAGCCAGTGCAGAAAATGGAATAAAGAAGATGAGCTTTGCACACCTGTGGGACACCATTTCGCACAACCTCAACCGCACTTTGGGAGACCTCAATATTTTAGTTCTTAACCAATTCAATACCGGGCAATTTTACACCTCCCTGCCCAGGCCAGTTTTCAGGTTTCAGCGCTCAAACACTTTGAATGACAATTGCATGGTCATACAACATTGTACCCAAACTAAAATATTATCATTTTTTCACACAACTAGAGCTTTCTTTTGGTGGTATTTAATCACCACTGGGGTTTTTATTTTTTGCTAAATTAACAAAAAAAGACCAAACATTTTGAAAAAAAAAACACGTTTTTCTTTGTTTCTGTTATAAAAGTTTGCAAATAAATAATTGTTCTTCATAAATTTAGGCCAAGATGTATTCTGCTACGTCTTTGGTGAAAATAACCCAAATTGTGATGTATTTTTTAGTTTGTAGGAAAGTTATAGAGTTCACAAACTATGGTATAGATCTGAATATTGATCAATCCTGAAGTACTGACAGCCAATCTAATTTCTTGAGGTCCAAGAATGTCAGGACAGTACAGATATCTCCCAAATGACCCCTTTTTGCAAAGTAGACAGTCCGACGTACTTCATAAGAGGAATGGCGAGTGTTTTGAAGTTGTATTTTTTTTGTCATAATTTTTCGGAAAATTAAAAAAATTAGTTTCACTATTTTTTTTTTTTTACAAATTGTCACCAGTGCAGTACAGTGTCATCATATAACTGGCATGGCAGTGATCAGGGACACTGGTGACAGTATGAAAAAAAAAATTATATATTCACCATTCACAGCTAGGCAGTAGTATACAATGGATGGCATGAATGAAGCCATCCATTGCATACAACTGTCATGTGACCTGCTGTGATTGGTCACAGCAGGTCATATGGTACCGGCAACGGGGCCGATACTCAGATCTGTCATCGGCCGTGTCCGAGGTACACGGCCGGTGACAGATTGCGCCGCTGCACCGCTCTGCAGGAGCACAATCTGCGCATGTGCGGGAGGACGTCATATGGCGTCCACCCGAAACGCTGATGACATTTGCCGCCCGCCATTCAGCCATAGGGCGGGCGGCAAATGGTTAAAGGAAATTTCAAATCCATTCAGGAAAGAAAAACTTTTGAACTAAGAATGATAATTCTATTTGACACAAGAGATAATGGCCTGAATTTGGACATGGGATTCCTCACTCATTATCCAACAGTTTTATGACTATCACCTCAACCTCAAGAATGACTGCCTCTGAGTGTTGTCTCCCCCCTCAGACTTTGTTTTTGCTGTGTCTTATCTCTGTTCTCTTTTTTTTTTTCCCCATCCCCTACATCTCTTCCAACATTCTGCTAAAACATTGTGATCAGTAGTGCTTGTACCTGAAGAAGGGGACATTCCCCGAAAGCTTGTCCTCAAAATTGTATGTTAGTACAAAGAAAAAAAGTATCACGGACAGTACTCAATTGTTTCTGTCACAAATGCACTAATACGGCTACAATCACCTCAAGCATCATTACCACTCCATATCTGTTATGATTATCATATCATTACCATATGGTTATTGTATTTTTATGTCTTCATTTTTATCTATCCTCTACACACACCCTCATCATTTTTTACTAATCCATAATTTTTGCATAACTTTTCCACAACGTTTCCACCACTTAATATTACTATTTTTATTTTTTATTCGTCTTTCCACACATTTTTACAATTTATTATTATTTTAGTTTTACTTTTTTTTTTTTTTTTTTAAACATTGAGTTACTCTGTAACTTAGAAGCCATCAGATGTGACATTTTAGAAGATTTCTTTTTACCATTTTTCCCCCAGAATTGTTTTCTGACTCACCTGTACTTCCCAGAGACACACGCCGCCTTTTTGGTAGCAATTTCAAAAAATTAGAGCGACTTGTCTCTATTGCTAACCACCAATGGTGGGACAAATACTTTTTTACGCAATATCTAACATACAAAATCACCCCAGAGGCCTTAGAATTCTAAAAATGTGTACTTTTTTAGACCCTGATAATTACAAAAATTGGCTAAATTTGTCTGAATTCTGCACCTCCAAATGGATTGAGGTTATTTCCCAGAGGGAAACCAAATTTCAACAACTTACGCATCAAATTCAGATAATGTTACAAGAGTTTCTGGATAGTGGTTATACTTTACCAAAACAGTGGTTCCACACTTTAAAGAAAAATACTAAACACCAAGAAAACCTCATAGTATCCACCAAATTGGGTAAATTTAAAAGGGATCTAGATGACTTCAATTATAACAGAGTATTTTCATGGAAAAACACTACCATTCAAGCACTAGTGGAACTAATCGTTTCCCCAGCCAACAATTTATCACATCAACACCCAGTCCCCTCTACTCTTCATCTACCTTCTTCACAATCACACCCCCCCAAGAATTTATTATTCATCACAATAGACCTATACAAAACATCAAGTATCATAACAACAAGTATAATAGCAACACACATATCCATAAAAACATACACATACCTCGGCCCAAAAACGCACAACCTTTACGTGATAACCCCAGCACCACTAATAATAATAACAACGTTAAACATAATAAAGATAATATAGTACACACCAACAATAACAAGGGTATAGAGAACACTCTTAGCCCTAACAGTGCCACCAAAAATCTCATCATGACCAGCCCTATCTCCACCTCTAGACCCATCCCCAGCACTACCACACTTAATGATACCATTATCCCTACCAGCACCACCCAGGTAGACACCTCCCATATCCACCCAGGTCGACACCTCCCAATCCACAATCCTTCCCATACCCACCACGAACAATATTACCTTTGGTATCGAGGGTCCAACCACTAACCTAAACTCCACACAACTTTACACTTCTCCCCAGATTCCTTTTTTTAGGCCTAAATCCCCTCCACAGAAAAAGAAAACACACAGAGGCTGTAGGGGGGATGAAACAAATATTACTCTACAGACACACGACAAAAACAGCGGAAACTGTGAAAATATTCAATTTATCCAGCTATCAATTATCAGACAGTGAAACCTCATTATTGAATCGAGGTCTTAATTTTGCTCCCACTTCTTTCCCAAACCTTTTCTCACTATTTAAAGACCTCAACAAATGTATTCATAATTTAACCCTCAATAGATTTTTTCACAATCACTCAAAAACCAGAACACTGATGACCCGGCTGATATTTACGATTCTGCTCTCTCGTCCACAGCTGATATCGATTGTTTACACATATTAGAAAAACTTTTTACTGAATCCCATCCCGATAATGTTCCATCTTCTGAATTAACCACCACAGAACCATCTTCAGTTTACCAATCCTCCACCCATCATTCACACTACCTTCAGACCGAAATCGGTTTTCAACCCTACATATTCAAAAGGCCCCTATCTAGAAAGCTTTTATAGAGTTGTTTACTCAGAATTTGTTATATTATGCAATCCTGGTCATGAGCACCCCTCTTCAAATGTGAATGCTACTGAAAAGAAATCTATAACAACTGTAACCTACAATATTGAAATCATAATTAAATCTGCTGACAAAGGCGGAGGCATTGTTTTCTTAACCAATTCAATACCGAACAATTTTAAAACCTTTCTTTCCAGGCCATTTTTCAGGTTTTAGCGCTCTTACATTTTGAATGACAATTGCGCAGTCATACAACATTGTACCCAAACTAAAATTTTATCATTTTCTTCACACAACTAGAGCTTTCTTTTGGTGGTAAATCATCGCTGTAGTTTTTATTTTTTGCTAAATTAACAAAAAAAAGACCAAACATTTTGAAAAAAAAAAACACGTTTTTCTTTGTTTCTGTTATAAAAGTTTGCAAATAAATAATTGTTCTTCATAAATTTAGGCCGAGATGTATTCTGCTACATGTCTTTGGTGAAAATAACCCAAATTAGGATGTATTTTTTAGTTTGTAGGAAAGTTATAGAGTTCACAAACTATGGTATAGATCTGAATATTGATCAATCCTGAAGTACTGACAGCCAATCTAATTTCTTGAGGTCCAAGAATGTCAGAATAGTACAGATATCCCCCAAATGACCACTTTTTGCAAAGTAGACAGTCCGACGTACTTCATAAGAGGCATGGCGAGTGTTTTTTGAAGTTGTATTTTTTTTGTCAAAATTTTTCGGAAAATGAAAAAAAATAAAAAAAATTATTTTCACTATTTTTTTTTTTTACATACTGTCACCAGTGCAGTACAGCGTCATCATATAACTGGCATGGTGGTGATCAGGGACATTGACTGGTGACAGTGTGAAAAAATATATATATATTTTTTTATTTTTAAATTTTTTATTAAATTTTTTTTCTTTTTTTAAGATTTTAAGATTAAAGATTAAGTAACATTGTACTACTTTGGGGAAGTGATCCGTATTTTTTATTTTTTTTTTACACAATTTGCTTATAGCAAAGAATTACTTTGCTATAAGCAAGCATTTACCTGAATGACATTGGTTCATTCAGGGTTTTTTTTTTTTTTTGTGCTTAGCTGTGATTTAGCCACAGCTAATCACATGACATGTGCATGTGATTAGCTGTGACCATTCACAGCTAGACACTAGTATACAATGGATGGCATGAATGAAGCCATCCATTGTATACAACTGTCATGTGACCTGCTGTGATTGGTCACATCAGGTCACATGGTACCGGCAACAGGGACCGGTACTCAGATCTGTCATCGGCCGTGTCCGATGTACACGACAGATCGTGCCGCTGCGCGGCTCTGCAAGCGCGCGAAACTGCGCATGTGCGGGAAGACGCCATATGGCGGCCTCCCGGAAAGCGAATACATTTTTACGGATGCCATTTGGCCATAGGCCGGGCGTCAAATGGTTAAATACCATAGACTATAATAGCCGAAGCCCATAGATTACTTTCTGATACATTCATTTATAAAAAAAGTGACTAAAGATCCGCTATCTGACTTTAAACTTGAGGCCCTACAGTTAACAAATA